TTCAAAGCCACTGAATGCTGTTTTTGAAGGCAAGTAAGTGATTATAAGTTCATTTTGGTCCTTCCAGGCAAAAATTTTGTGAGACTGGGTCTGTTCTGTCGTGAGTTTAGTTTCTGAGCCAGTTCTAACTCTAGGGCATGTTTCTTCCTTTTAAGGCATAAGCTTTCTGGGTTCTAACTGATTCTGGAAATACTTTGGAAAAAGCCTCTCTACTCCGCTGCAGCCAGAAGCCCATCGTCTCTCAGCACTGTGGGACTGCAGGTGTCTGCGCCATCCTCAGCCATGCAGCACGTGACCTTTACTAGCCCTCGGGGACTCCTGGCCTGTGTCCAGCTCAGTTCCCAGCCACAGATTCACCTCCCGTCCTTTCGCACACCCGAGGGCCTGGCTCTCTGAGCACTCCTTCCTGTCGGATATCCGGCCCCACAAATCTCAGCCTCTTCTGTCCAGAACTTCAGTCCCTGGCTCCTGAGCTCACAGAGAACACTATGCAGCTGAGGCTTTATTGCACCATTGGAGTCCTGGGGCAGAAAGCTGGGATGATCATGGAAACCAGCACAGGGAGCCCGCAGCCCCTACTGCCTGGTGTCAGCAACAATCCCTCATCGGTTTTGTCCCTCCCTGTAACTGTTTAAAGTGAGGCCAAGTTACCAGTTCCTCTGTCACAGTCAGATGCAGAAATCCTCATGTGTTCTTAATTCTGTGCAAGATTAACCGTCCTAATGATGCAGTGCAGAGGGCCCAATTTCTCTTAAAGTATCACAGTATTGTTTAACAAGCACTCTTTCCTTCAAGCAAGTAAGCCACGAGACTGTCAGCCCGGGCTAAATTAACTAGAAGTGGGCTGATAGATGCATTAAACAGAGAAAGCCTGTTTCATCACTAATCACAATCTTCTCTGACTGCAGACCTCCCAAAAGGGAGAGGCAGCACTGGGCAGACTTACTTAGATTTTCTCTTCTATATGTAGTATGATGGTCATAGCAGAGGGTCAATTTGACCGGGCTCTGCAATCCATCCTAGGGATTGGTGGAGCTCACTTCCGGGTGTGTCAGAGAGGGTCCTGGAGCTGTGGCCTTCAGGTCTAAGTCTGTTCTCGCTCACCTTCTTCTTTGGTTCCTCCACTCTGCTTCCTGGCCAACATGAACTAATCATCTTTGCTCCACCACAACCTTGCTTCTTAAGTTTTCTGTCTGAGGACCAGCTGACCTCGAATTTCTAATTTCTGAAATTATGAGCCAAATTAAACTCAGGTATTGTGTCCCTGTAGAAAAATGGGACCAGTGTACAACCAGGGAGTAAATGTGATCTCAGAGCATATGAAGCCATTGCTCCTCATTCCACACATCATCTTCCGACTGACCCCTCTTTCCAGGTTAACAGAAAATCAAGCTGTATCTGAAACCAATAAGCACAGAATGTCCTGCAAAGAGCTGCCTCCACATGCCACATCCTTGCTGCCCCATTTAGTCTCACCTGATATTCCTGCTCTGAGCTCCCTCTAGTACAACACATCCATCTCGTTACTTTTCATCGGCCCCAGTAGAATCTAACCTCCATGACAGCAAAAGTCTTACAGGTAGATCTGGTCTAGCACAGAAACTGACAGGCAGTAGTCTCCCACCTATGGTTTCACTTTCCAAAGTTTCAGTTTCCCAAGGCCAACCGCATTGAGAAAGTATTCGATGGAGAAACTCCAGACATAAATGATTCATTAGTTTTAAATCGTGGCCCTCTCAGTAACGCACTAACCCTGAGATAGGCACCACACATTTGTCTAGCGTATTCACACTGTATATGCTGCCTGCCCGTTCGTCACTGAGTGGCCGTCACCATTATCAGATCGACTGGCACAGCGTTGCCAGGCATATATATGTTCAGGTAACCCATATTTTATTCACTAAAGACCTCTGCACGAGTAGCAATGTTGGCCATTTCATTATAGTATATTGCTGTAATTGTTCTGTTTATCAGTCATTATTATTAATGTCTTCCTGGGCCTAATTTAGAAACTCAACCTTCTCCTAGGTGTGCACATATAGGAAAATCACAGCTTATATAGAATGTGGTACTACCTGTGGCTTCAGCCACCTACTGATAAGGGCTTCTTCTATACAGAAGGAGCTACGAATTTTTTAAAATAAATGAATCCATAAATGAACAGGTCCCTTTGGAACTAGAATAAAAAGTATTAAGAGAGAGTTCTTAATCTGTAGCTTTTATTTTTTTAAGGCATCTTTATGGCCATGGGTGACTGTTCTACCAAAAACAAGTTACTCCTCGTCAAGCAACCAGAAGTTGCTGCTAGTAGAAGTGGATGTGAGAGCTGTGGGGACAGCTATGGTCACACCAGGTTCTTGTGACATCTGGGTTTTGTCCCCAGGCTACACCTCGCATTGGCTCTCCCTGACAGTCACATATACAAGGAAAGGGCTTCCTGCTTTCCATGCGAGGACTCAGCTTGCCCGGGTTTTGATGAGTCCCAGGACCCTGAAGATTCTGCTTGTGGCCAAGGGAACATCCTGTCTTCTCTTGGACATGGTAGCAAAGGCAAATAAGAACAAGGCCTGGGTGTTCTATGATCGAAAGAGCCCTGGGCTTAGAAAATACAGACCATTTGGTCAACACTTCTGGATAGGGAAGCCATACAGCAACTAAGAGGGGACAGAATGAACTCAAGGACATATAATGAATACTGAACAGCACTAGGACTAATTTCCAGGACACCAGCCTTCCAGTTCAGGCTTCTGTGTTCCCCTCCCCCTAACCTTCTGTATTTACCCCGCCAATATTCTAGATTGTTTTTACTCAGACCACTTAAACTCCCAGGTTAAGAGCACACTGCTTTAATCCAGCACGACTGTAAAGAGTCAGAAAAGAGGACTTTCCTTTTTGAGTCAGGGTCTCACTATGTAACTGGGCCTTTTATTTTGAGACAGTCTGGATAAATTATCCAGGCTGGCCTCGAACTCAGAGCGATCCTCCTGCCTCAGCTTCACAAATGCAGGTATCACAGGCGTGCGCCACCATGTCTGGCTCTTTGTTCCTAAAGAATACGCACACACAAGCCTATGTGTGCATCCTATAGAATCCTCTGAGAAGCCTGGTGATGGGAAACCCTGGAGAGATCTACAAAGCTGATAGGGTCCCCAAAGCTGTCTCCCCCGTGGAGTTGATAAATCAAGTGATTTTTTTTCTGCATGATCCCTCCACTGCAGTTTCGACTATCAGGTTTCCAGTTCTAGTTTGTCATCTGACCTGAGGCAAGTCTAGTCAACGCCTTTTCCTGATGGGGATTAATTTACAAATTTAGTAACTGCAGATAGAAACAAACAATTCACGACTATCTCTTGTATCCTAGGAAGAGAATCGACTTTGAAGAAAAAAATATATAAATGTTTCTTTAAATACTTATCCCAGATACGTCCAAAGATTCATTTGGGTGGAGCAGGCCTGTAATCCCAGCTCCTAGGGAGGCAGCAGGATCACAAGTTCAAGGGCAGCCTGTGTGCAATTTATCCAGACTGTCTCAAAAATAAAAGGGGTGAGGGGTTTGTAGCTCAGTGGTAGAATGCGAGAGCCCAGCACGCATGAAGATACGGGGAAGAAAAGAGATCCTATCAAAGGCAGTTTTCTATAAAGGCCTTTTCAACTCCACAAATATTTTTAGAACAATTCTTACAAATGTCTTTCATATAAGCAGACACAGCTATGGCATCCTGGTGAAACCAACCTTTAATTGTGACTGTCACACGGCCCTCAGCCATTACCATCCTAGTAAATTTTACATTTCATGGAACAGGGCCTGCCTGATGCAGAAGTACTGCATACGCACAGCTTAAAGGACCCAGTGTGCACCGTCATAAACACAGAAGCACATGTGTAACCTGGCCTAGTGTCACTTCGCCTGGAGGAATCCCACAGCTGTCTAAAGTTTCCTGAACCACCAGCTAATAGGGGTTGGAGGCCAGGAAGAATGCTGTGTAGCATCCACACGAACAGGTTCACGAAAGGCAAGGGGAACATTCTGGGTGTAATTAAGAAAACTGGAAATTAACAACTTGATGGCATTAAAGTTGGAGAAAGGCTGTGGCCCCGTGGCAGCGTGCTTGCCTAGCATGTGTGACAGTTCCTGGATTTGGTTTCTTGTATCACAAAAGAAAATAAAAGTGGCGGGGCGGGGGCGCAACAGAGCAAGTTAACTCTTTAGCTGGAGCAGGGCTTTGCCAAGTGTACGGACTCTGAGAACAGTGTGGCGGAATTACTCTGGGATGTCTTCAGGGTCTTCTCCACGTAGGCAGAGGGCAGAGGGCTGCCTGGTGGGCTCTCGGGCTGCACACAGATGCTGGAGAACCAGAGCCCAGGGGAGCCCTGCTGAAGGGGGGCAGGAGCAGGTGCACACCGGAGCACCACGGCCCACAGGGGCTGCAGATCCACAGTCCACAGTGACTCTGCCCCGCCTTTCTCGCCTCTCCCAGGGAATTACCCCATCCACTTCCCTTTCTTGCAGCCTCAGATTTCCCTTCTCTAATAGACCACTGCCTCCACCAGATCCCACGCTTGATTCTCCCCCGGTCCCTGTGCAACTCCCCAACTCACTTTCCACCCAAACCACTCTTACCAAGGCCACTGAGGGGCTCCATTTGGCTGAATCCTATGGTCGGTGCTCGCCTTTTATTTGCAAGCACCTCACCCGGAGGTTCACTCCGACTTCTCACAGTGGCTTTTCCCTCAGCTTCCGGACACTGGACTCCCTTGACTGCATCCTCTCAGGCTGGACACCTGTCCAGACTCTTATCTTCCTCCTCATCCCGACTGCTCTGGTTCTCCGTGTTTGGATTTCTTCTCTTCTCCTTCCCTAGTTGTTCCCTGGATAAACTCATTAACCTTACAGCTTTCCGCAGTGCGCTCCCAAAGCCCTATCTCCAGTCATTCCCTGTCTTCTGCTGAGGTAACAAAGTACAACACATAACGCCTTCAAACAACACACATTTACTCACATAATCCTGTGGGTCTGAAGTCTTACGGGATTTAAAAATCATGTGTCCACCACACCGGAATCTTCTGGAGCCTTTGGAGAAGATCATTCTTCGCCTCTTCCAGCTTGTAGAGGTAGCCTGTTTAACAGAATCAATATAAAATATATGTATCATACATGGGATTTTTAGGAAGGCTCACAGGCTCAGAAGGGAAGGAACCCCAGTGACCATGTGTGGGATCAGAGAGGGAAGAATCCAAAATGGCCAGGGGTGGGCAGGAGAGCTGGAGGATCAAGGAGGAGTCAAGGTTGAAGGCCTGAAAGCTCGCTGTACGCGCAGTAGTGCAAGTCTGAGGGGGAGGCTTAAGTAATGAGATGAAAAAGTACCAAGACAACGGGAAAGGCTGGAGCTTCTTCAAAAGAGGAACATGGCCTGCTTTTTTTTTCTTTTTAGTTTGTCCAGGCTACAAGCCTATTGGTTGGTGTGACCCATATCCGGGGTGGGCCTTCCCCCTCCATTTGCTGGTCTACACGTCAATCGCCCACAGACACACCCATATAAAGTGACTCTGGCTGGCTCTGGGAATTGGGATGTAAGCATAGGCAGGGGCCGTTACTTAGCCACGACCTCTGCTGTCGTTGGAAATGTGTCCCCGCAGTGCTTATGTTAGAAACCAATCTTCAGTGCAACCGTATTGAGAAGTAGAGCCCTCCAAGAGGTAACTCATCACGGGGCTCTGCCTTTGTGAGTGGATCGATGCTGCCGCCACAGAAATGGTCACTCGTCCAGGAGCGCGTTCCTCTCAAGAGCTGAGCGGGTCCCCCATCGTGCAGCACACAGACCCCCGGCAACACCCCCTCCCCCCCAGCTGGGACTTTCTCCTTACCCAGACCACGGTGCCTCGGTGAAGCAGCCGGAAAGGACACGGAGGACCTCCGGCTAACTCCCGCCTTGGAGCCCCGGTTGCCCGCTCAGCGCAGTGTCTCAGAGCTGAAGGGTGGTGGAGAGCCGCTTCCTGCTGCTTCTCCAGTCAGGACGCCAAGAAGCCTCTTGATCCTCCCTTCTGCCCTCGCACACCGAAGACAGGCCCAGCGCCCGTGGCTGTCTCCGTCCCATTCCTTTCCAAGCCCTCCCACTTCGTGGCACCTCAGTGCCGCCAGCTGCGTCAGGCTCCTTCCGCCTCCTCCTCCCTGGCCTTCAGCTTCCCGGCTGCCTGTATGGGATGATCCAGGAGAAGCGGAGCGGGATCCCGCTATTCTGAGCGTTCTCCAGTGGTGTTAACTGTGTCCGCCGCCTGCCGCCTCTGTTTCTGTCTCTGCCCCGGCCACACTGGCCACTCAATCATGCCCCTCTGCATCACCCCTCCAGTTGCTGCTGTCCTTCTGCCTGCTCACTTACTTTACATACCAATTTCTATTTGTTGTTTTTCCCCTTCACATAGTTTGTTCTCTTCTTCTAACCTATAAATCCCATTAACTGGTGCCCTTCTGCCGTGCCACCCTGCCTTGGAGCCAGCCAATTATGGACTAAAACCTCCACAAATGCAAACTAAATGAACCTTGCCTCCTTCTTTGTCCAGTATTTTGTCTCAGCAACAATAAAAGTAATTAAGTCACCCCATCGTATAGTAGAACTCAAGAAATATTTATTGGATGAATGAAAGATTTTTCCCCTAGTATAAGAAGTCAAAGAAATATGACCTTTATAACTTGTATCCTTTTACTACACCTATTATTAAACTTTTGTAGAGATCTAAGTGCAATGGTGCATGCTTATAATCTCAGCACTCAGGAGGCTGAGACAGGAGGCTCACCATAAATTTAAGGACAGCCTGAACTACATAGCCAGACTTTATCTCAAAAAAGCCCAACGCAGCCCTCAGGAGGCTGAAGCAGGATGATTTCTGGATGTTTAACTCACTACATAGTTCAAGGCCAGCCTGTACTGCACAGTGAGACCCTGTCTCAAAAAATAATAAGCCCAAAAAATAAATAAGCTTTTGCAGAGACACTCTGGTCTTGTGAAGGAGATGTGTGTGCAAAGACCTAACTTCTACACAAAGCCCACTAGCAGGTGCTACCACAGGAGTTCACGGCATGACAGCTGCAGAGGAAGGAAGAGACTGTCTCACTAGTGGCTTCGGATGATGAGAAGGGGCTTTATGGGGGAGGCAGCATTTGAGCTCTGCCCGGACAGGTTTGCAGCTGTGCCAGTGGTCTGGACATCACAGTCAAAGCTCAAGTTGGAATTTAACCCCATTTCGAGGCAGTAGGAGGGGCCCTGTAGGGTCTTCATGAGGTGATGAGGTCAGGAGGGTCATGGGTTGGTGGTGCAGAGGCTGTGTGAGGAACCTGTCACACAAGCTGGGTAGGCTCTGTCTCCTGCACATTCCCTTCACTGTGTGACACGGCACTGCCTTGGGACTTAGCAGGGAGTGCGCAACAGCAGGCGAGCCCTCACCCACACCGGCCCTTGAGTGGGACTTCTCAGATTCCAGAACCCCACGAAATCTTTCCCAGTCACCAGGATAGTGACAGAAAACAGACAGGCCTACGGTGACTCCTCAGGGTTCCTGGCTCAGGACTCCCGGCTCAGGTCAGCTCCACTGTTACTGAGCTGAGCCTCAAGCAGAAAGGCAACAGGTGGGTGGAGCCGGGCCTCCTCCCCAGCCTCCCAGCCCATCCCAGAGGCCTTTGCGAAGAGGACTGAAGAGCAAGCATGTCTCCCATCACACGTCAGTGATGTTACCCGCGGGAGAGCGGAGCCAGGCTGAGCGGGGCTGGGTGGGAGCCATTGGCCTGGCTCTGAAGTGTCATTCAAGAGCCAGGATAGAGTAACAGGCCCTGCAGCCCCAGGCAGCTCCCGTCTCTCCCTTGACGCTGGCCTCAAAGTCCCATTTGTCCACAAGAGGGTGGAGGTTCTGTGAAGAGACATCTGACTGGTGGCCCCGGCTATCTGCAATCTGACCTTCTGTTCCCATTTCAGACTTCAGGAGTATCCTTGTCTTCCGTGCTCTTTCTTATTTTCGTCCCCATTCACTCCTAACGTCTTGAGAGGCCAAGGCAGAAGCCCTACAAATGGAGACTTGGGTTTAGAGCTGCCTGGTTTTGTAACTGACCCTTCTGCTGACTTCTCGGGGTCACTGGGCATTCTCAGGGGTTGAGTGTTATGAAATGGGCACGATGGGGGAGATGTGGGCTGATGTGGCCCCCAGACTTCGCCACATCGTGGGCAATGGGCACTGTTGGTGTCCGGCCCAGCTCCGGGCTCTGTGGGGCTGCAAAGGAAACCAGACTGGCGTGGGGTAGGTGGAGGATGAGGCAGCCTGGGCTGCTGACTGAGTCCAGGCTATGGATGAAATGGTGCCCACAGCGAGGCAGGCTCACTGGACCCACAGAGCCGATTGTGAGGGACAGAAAACCCTCACCCACTCCGTCATGGTCCCCGGGGATGGCGAGCTTGCTGGCCACAGGTCACCGCCAAAGCCCTGCCCCAGGGAGACAGTGACCAAGCCCCTCACTCCTAGAGTCCACTTCACCCATCTGTGAGGGCAAATACAGCTTCCGGGACATGGCCTGGGCATGGAGGCACCACACTGACCTGGACCACCGCTCCACATGTGGAATGGAAAAGCGGCCTCACGTTCACCTCTGTGCTCATGCAGTGACAGCAGGCACACTGACGGCCCATCCCTTCACCCACGGCTCACTGGGTGGGGAGTGGGAGAAGCCCCATCCCAGAGAGCTTCCCTCTGTGTTTACCCCTCCCCAGCGCGCTGGCTAGAGAAGAATTCAGTGTCCAGAGAGGTGGGGCTGAGAGAGGACAGCACAGAGGAGCGCTGAGGAAGGGAAGTGGTGAGCACCAGGCAGGCAGCTGTCTCCCGCCTCGGTCGGGAGAGGCCCAGCACAGACCCCAGGGGACACAACCAGCAGCTCCCCAGCTGCCCTGGGCCAGTCCACTGTCTCCATGCTGCTAACTTCCTTGGAAGCCACCTACGCAACTTTGCAATAAAAATCAACAAAAAATACTCAAATAACAAAGCAAAAATAGCAAAATCTTTCCTTCCGGGGTACCATCTCCGGTGTCCGGCACGTCTCCTGTTACACACATGGGCTCATC